TTATCAAATTGTTATGAAATGTCTTTGTAACATTAAAGACAATGAAATAGTACAAAAGAAAATTTCCAAAAATCAAGGAAAAGGGTAAACAGGTGAGATAAGTAGGAATAATAACTGACACCTTAGTGACTAAGCACTTGTAGAACCATTTATGTGTAAATACAATAAATAGACTTATATTACAGTGGGCATGGCATGTATTCTTGCCATCAGTGCCGATTGGGTTAAAATACACTTACGCTCTTATGGCATCTTCTGTATATAAAATTTGTCTGATTTTCTTTTCCTGAACTGGGCGATCAAAACGGGGTTCATACTTGGGAGGAAATGCTTCATATACCTCATACCACAATGGCTTCTCTGAGGCTTTAATGGCACCAGATTTCAATAACCCAGTTGTCCTGCACAAAAAAGAGAAAATATCTTATTTATCTGTATTATGAATATAGTGTGTGCATGTATGTATATGTGGGAGGGGGGGGGGGGGCTGTTTGCATTTTTGGATGCGTTGCAGTGTGCATGTGTCAAAGAAAAGAGAGTAAAAACTAGAAACCATCATTGTGAATCTAAAACTTATATTATGTGAGCCAATTATTGGGCCTTAAATATTTATTTGCTAAATGTTTATAATTTGATACTAAAATGAAAGCTTTTCTTGTCATCTGAAATTAATAACAACCTTTCATTTTTTTGCTTCCTTAATAACTCCTTTATAATATTACAATATCTGACTATTTCTTACATTAGGATATTGATAAGTTTTAATATCTTTATTCAACTCATTTTCAAATGTAATTTTAAAACCATAATTAACAATCCACCATAAATACATAATAATGAGAAAGATAAATAAATTAGTTTCCAAGCTTCACAACAGTTGTTCCAAGCAAGGAGCTGACACTGTATCTCAGTCATTACTTATTTTGATACATGAGTAATCATCCAGACCAGAAGTACATCAAGCAATGGCTGTGGCCTCTTGCATTTGACATTTGAACTCTGACAATAGCAATAATCTAAGATAAAACTTGACTGATTCTTCTACTACAATGAATCATTGACACTGTCCATAAGCT